TCACATGATGATCGTTTTCGTATCTCCTTAATGTATTTAAAATTTAAGGAGACTATATAGTGTAATGTTAATTTTTTATTTTAATTTTTTTTTTTGCCATCACCGGGATTCGAACTTGCGACTTCACGATTGGAAAGGCAAACGTTCTTTCAAAGCAGCCCCCCTTAACTTTTTATTTTACGATAATTCTTCATATATATTTAATTTAAATTAACAATAATTTTATGCACCAATTTCAACATAATTAATTATATAGTTGAAGGGTAATTATTTAGTTTGTGTGTATGGTATTAAATATACTTTATTAATAAATTTTATTAAAAACTCTGCAGGGGGAATTGACGGTTTTCGCCCCTCTTATTTCCAATTTTTAATTAACCCTAAAAATCCTTATCAAGATTCATTTGTAAATTCAATGATAATACTTAGTGAAAATATATTGAACAATGATTTACCTAGTCAAATTCACCAAATTATTTTTGGCGCAAGATTAATTGCTTTTTCTAAGCTTGATGGTGGAGTTCGGCCAATTGCAATAGGGTCTTTTTTTAGGAGACTTTTAGCTAAAATAATCGTTGAGCGCATCAAACCTGATGCTTCAAAAATGTTCCAAACATATCAACTAGGCTTTGGTACCAAAGGGGGATGCGAAATAGCCGCTCACTCTCTTCGCATATATATCGAAGATCCTCCTCCAGACGCCGTAGTCTGTAAGCTTGATTTTAAAAATGCTTTTAATTCTTTATCCAGAAAAACATTTTGAACATTTTTTATGAAAAATTCCCAGTTTATGCAAGATTTATTGAACAGTCTTATGGCTGTAGAACCCCTCTCAAATTCGGGGAATATACCATTCCTTCTGACGAAGGTATTCAACAAGGAGATGGGCCCTCTGATCTTTAGTTTAGGTATACATAACCTAGTTCATTGTCTAAAATCCTCTTTTAATTTAGATTTAAACATATGGTATCTAGATGATGGTACCATTTGCGGACCTTCTAAAAATATTCTTGCAGCGATAGATTATATAGAGAAGAATTCTCTAAACATAGGCCTTACTCTAAATAAAGCTAAATCGGAAATATGCTTTTTAAATTCAAATACTCTCAAAGTCCAAGGGTTTAAAATCATCAAAAAAAGTGAAATTAATCTTCTAGGTTCACCTTTAAGCAGTTTTTCCAACTGTGAGGTGTTCGTGGAAAAATTTTTCGAAGGCTTATCAGGTCTTGAAACTATTTTAAACGAAATTCCTTCACACCAGAGCTTTTTTCTTTTAAAAAATATTTATTTTTACCAAAGATTGTACATATTTTTAGATCTCCTTCCTTTTTTTTAAATAATGAAATTATTAATCGTGTTCATGAATTTTTTAGAAGCTTATTAGAAAATATTTTAAATATTAAATTGGAAGATTTTAATTGGGGTTTCTCACAATTACCCTCGAAAATGGGTGGTTTAGATTTATATCCTTTAAACCTTCTATCTCTTTCCTCATTTTTGGCATCGCGTTTGATAAATAACGCCATGATATCTTCTTTTATCTCTCCTAAAGATAACCTTTTAAACTCAGCCTTGACAACCTGGGTATCTTTAGCTCCATCTGAAGCTGTCTTACCCACGATCTTAACACACCAATCTATTTTCGAACCTTTAATTAAAAATTTTTTTTAAATAATCTCATCAAACCCCCCTTTGGAGTATATTCAACTATTACAGAATGCTGACTGTACTAGTGGTTATGAATGGTTGGAAGCATTACCAAGTCGTAACCTAGGTAACCTCTTATCAGATGAACAATTAAGAGTTGCCATAGGCCATCGACTTGGATGTAACATTGTTCAACCACATACATGCATCAAATGTAAAACATTAGTTGACTCCAAAGGGAGACATGGTCTAAATTGTATATAGTCAAGGCAGGCATGCAAGGCATTCAGCAATTAATTTAGCTATTAGCCGTTCTCTTACCAGGGCCCGAATACCAAACATCCTGGAGCCTACAAATTTATCGTTAGATGATGGCTTAAGACCTGATGGCTTAACTTCCGTGCCTTGGTCTTTAGGGAAATCCTTAATTTGGGACTTCACATGCGCATCTTCTTTCCCCAAAAATTTAAATTCTAATCCGGTTGATATAGCCGAGAAAAAAAAAACAATAAAATATTCCAAATTCACAAATTATATTTTTACACCGATTGTTATCTCTTCCCTTGGACATATGCCAAGTGGAACTTTAAAGTTTTTAAAAAATATAGGGGATAAGATAAGAGCCCTTACATCAGAACCTAAAGAATTTTATTTCTTAAAACAAAACCTACAAATCATAATTTTAAAATATAATTACGCATGTTTTTTGGGAACTTGTAGTCCCACCACGGTTTTTATATAATATTTTTATTTTATTTTATTTTTGATAACTATATATTGAATAAAAAGATAGCACAAAAAAAAAAAAAATTTAAGAATAAGATAGGTAAAATTGTTCATTGTATACTGTGAGCATGTATTAGAAATATCAAATTAAAAATGTGATGGAAATCATATTGAATAAAATTTAAAATAGAGGTGCTAAGATTTTTGAATTTTAAATATGTATAAATTGGTCTGAAATTTTTTTTGCAGACAGCCAGAACTGATCAAAAAAAAATGTGTTGAAGGGTAATTATTTACTTTGTGTGTATGGTATTAAATATACTTTATTAATAAATTTTATATAAATATTAAAATTTAAAAGTAAAAGAGATAAAATTGTTCAATGTATACTGTGAGCATGTATTAGAAATATCAAAATTTAAAAATGTGATGGAAATCATATTGAATAAAATTTAAAATAGAGGTGCTAAGATTTTTGAATTTTAAATATGGGTTATAGATTGGTCTGAAATTTTTTTGCAGACAGCCAGAACTGATCAAAAAACCATGTGTTGAAGGGTAATTATTTAGTTGGTGTGTATGGTATTAAATATACTTTATTAATAAATTTTATATATATATTAAAATTTAAGAGTAAAAGAGGTAAAATTGTTTCAATGTGTACTGTGAGCATGTATTGGAAATATCAAAATTTAAAATGGTTTGTTTAAAATTTAAATTAGGATGAACATATTTTCAGAATGGTACTTTAATATGTATTCATGAATTTCATATAAATACCAGGAGCTCACCAGTAGAATCATAGGTAAATCAGAAATTTACCCTTCATTTGATTATAATTTTGAAATTAGACAGATTTAATTCTTATAAGCCCCTTACATCAGACCTATTTTTCTGGATCAAATAAATTATTTGGGATTTCCTGGGCTTGGGAAATATTTTTCACCATTAATATGGACTTGGACCTAGCTTGAGAAACATTTTTCATAATTATTATAGTCTAAGATTCCTGTGAATTTTTTAATTTTAAATATGGACTAGAAATTGGCCTGAAAATTTCTTTTGAAGACATGGCAAGGCCTGATCAAAAACCAAGGCCCATGCAAATTTCATATTCTGATTGTATTTTTAAATGCATTGTGACTTTTTAAATATTTTATTTCAGTCCTCAACTATCAAAATTATTATGGTCTTTTGCGGGTTTAAGAAAACCAAGTGCGAGGACCTGGCTTGGGATTTTTTTAAATATTAGGCATAGGTGTAATATTTAACATAGAATATTTATATGGCCCTAAGGTAAAGTCTAATTTAAATATATTTTTATTCAAAAAAATAGTATTCACTCTTAGTCTTAATGGATTGGCCTTGGTTGGAGTGAGCTAGGTTAAAATAGACTAAAAAATAGATATGGTTTTTAGAGATTTACCTATCTCCAGGCTTGGAAAATTACTATCGGTTAGCCAGGTTTGATAAATTTTTTTTATAAAATTATTATGGGTTGGGCTGGGCTTGGAAAATATTTTTATAAATTATATTGGGCTGGGCTTGGGGAAAATTTTTCAAAATTATTATAAGCTTGGACGCTTGAGAATTTTTTTATTATTAATTATAGGTCAGACAATGGCCCAAAACAAATTTTTTTGCAGGCCTGGGCTTGACCTGATCAAAAAACCAAGGCGGCCCATGAAAATCTGAATTTTGATTGTATTTTTAAATTCATTATGATTATTTAAATATTTTATTTCAGTTCTCAACTACCAAAATTATTATGATCTTTCATTGGGCTTGGAAGAATTTTCATAATTAATATGGCTTTGTACTTTGCCTGGAAATTTTTTTTAATATTAAATATTAGGTATAAGTAATCAGTAATATTTAACAAATAATATTGGTATTATCAAGTAAATGCTTTAAATTTATTATTACTCAAACCATAGAACTTAGTTTTAATGGATTATACCTGGCCTGAAGGGATGAGGGGGTAAGAAGAATAAAAATTGGATATTATATTCAAATAACAGGTAACATGCATAAAAGTAAGAAGAAAATTTTCATTTCCCGTCATTTTTGACGGGATATTTACTAGTATATATATAATATATATATCCAGATACGTCTAGATAAATGGATTACGCGAAAATTTCGTATTTTATTATTATCTCTTAAAATTAAGCTCTGAAAGGACGTTTTAGTTTATTTATTTTTTACATTTGATTAATTTTTTTTTAATTAAAACTGCTAATAATCTTTCTTTCTTTCTTTCTTTCTTTCTTTCTTTCTTTCTTTCTTTCTCTTTCTTTCTTTCTTTCTTTCTTTATTGAAAATGAAATTGATCTAAGGATGTGTGAAATAAATATTTATTTGATTTTAGACTGAATGTTATATGTTATAAAGATGATAATAGTAATTACATTTTTTTTTCTTTTCTTTAAAAAAAAAAGTAATAATAGCAACAGATAGATATACACACTAAAAAAATAATTATTTACAGAGTTTCAGCTTAAATTTTATAAAAAAAAACGAAAATTTGATTTTTTTGTAATTACATTTTAAAAAAAAAACAAACAAATAACGATATATTATATTTACAAATTATTATATTAAAAAATGTTAGTATCTTTCTTCGCTCATCCCTTGAGCAAGATGGGTTGATTCATTTTATGGTGCTCGAATTTTTTGTCCTTCATGTGCATTATGAAGGGAAGCAAAAATTGGATCGGATCCATAGTTGACTTAATCCTGGATTTGTACATCTTCTTGGTAACCAGTCCGAATAAAGCGTCGTTAGCGTATTCATCCCCGGCCGAATTTACTTGGTCTTCATTATCGCGATCGAGTTTTTGTCCTAATTCGTCCAATTTTCTGTCTTTGGATTTAAGCCTCATTTCGTTCGCCTTTATTTGCAGGGCTATCGGTAAATGTTGGCCTTTGTAGGCCTCGACGAGTTGCGCGGGATTAGAAGGGTACTTCTCCGCTGCGGAGTATCTGGGAGGTAAGTTGTACGAATTGTAGGCCGACGGGTAAGAGCCTATGGTTCGCATTTGATTTCCGGGCTGAGCACCTCCCGCCATAGATCCGATCCCATACATAGATAAAGATGGCATGGACGGATTATTGGAAGATATTTGGGGGTCGTTTTGAATCATCCTATCAGCGCCGCCCTGGTATGGATCGTAATGAGGGTTGAAATATGGATTATTCGAATCAGAACCTATTGTATTTCAATAAAATTGGTTTAAAAAAAGGATGGGTAGGTGGTTTGTCTCACCACAAAAACGTTTAATTAACAATTTTTTCAAAATAAGCTTTCTTTTATTTGGATTTATGATGTATATGTTAGCATCATCAATGTGTTTTTTTCCCCGGAACGTGTCATTTTTACAACTTTAAAATCATTTTTTGAGCTCATTTGTTTTAAATTTAAAAAAATCTAATTTTACCGGAAATATGTTCCATCATGGAATACCTATTTTATGAACTGTAGACAATATTTGATGTTACCCTTTGAGTCATTCATAATTTATATAGAAAAAAAATATATGAAAAATTTAATATAAATTTTTATTAAGTTTAAAAGTTCATGGAAAAATTATATGAAATCCATAGGGTAGTCATTTCAAACATTTCTAAAATAACACATTGCCGGGAAAATTCACATTGACGCTAACACATATATATTAATAATATGTTTTCTAATCGTACCTTAAAGTCTCGTTAATATTCGATAGATATGTCTTAAGTTTTTATTCATTATTTAAAACTTCCATTTCAATCCCCTATTATTAAAAATTGGACTCAAAAAATAATAAATATATTTTACAAAAAAAAAAGAAGAATGTTAATATTTTCTCATTTAAAATTGGAATGTCTAATTATTTAGTACCCTCGTTTGGCTATCCTATTACTAGTGTTGTTAAAAACTCAATATTTCATCCAGAAAAATATTAAGCAAGCCTGAAGATTTTTCTCATAGAAGCAACAAAGGTCTAGACTTATATTATCGAAATCTCGAGGCCTAGGCAATATTTTTGTAGCTAAAATATTGAGTTAGCCGTTTTTAAAAATCGGCTCAAAACGAGCCGTTTAACAACACTACCTATTACATTTAAATTTATCATTAAGTAAAAAAATTTTTTATTAAATGTTAGACGATTTTGCGCTGAGATTCATGATGAGCTGCCATATAAAATATATCTAACTCTAATCAACAATTTTTTAAAAAAAAATGTTTCTAAGCTGCAGCAAAAAAAACAAACTATAAATACAACTACAACTATTTGAAAAAATATTTTCGCTTTTCGAAATATTATAAAAATCTAGTCTATATCTCCGCTAAGTCATAACCTACGGGTTAGGTGCCATGTCACCCGATTAATGGATAGGTATATGTTTCTTAGGAAAAGTAATGCTTTTAGAAAAATAAGATAATTATGGGGGGCTAAACATTTTTATATTTCAGTGCATTAAAATATTTGAGGCATCGTTGAATAATGGAATTGTATAAATTAAATGATATCTTTGGATCATATGATAAAAAAATTTTGATTTTTTTAAAATTTACCATCTAATTCGGAATTGCCATTCAACATATTTTGAGAATCGGGAGATTCTAAATCGATCTTAGTTTCTGAAACTCTTATAAGGGGCTCTTCATTCTTTGTGGAATAAATTTAAATATATAAATAAAATAAATGTAAAATTTATTGAGGGATAGATATGCGTATAGAGTCGCAAAATATACGGCTAAAATGCCATATATTAATTTATGATATCATCATCAGACTTTAAAATGGATAATGTATTTATTTTTTCTTACAGCTTACGCATGTGCTCTACTTAAGGTAAGTAGAAGATACTGGGAAAAATCCTCAATTTCTGAGAATTGATGGGGGAGGGATGGGCTTGATAATTTTGTATAAAAAAAATTATTAGAGCAATTTTTTTTCTCCGGGGAATTATCTTCCCTGATTCCTATCTGAAGTTTTCAAAAATATTTAAAATTTAACTTTAAGATAGAACACTCCAATTCTCAGCTGCGATTTATTCTAATATATTTCAAAAAAAATAGTATCATAAATTAAACAATTAATAACACCCCCCCCCCCCCTCCCTTCCTCCTTAGAGATAAAAACTCCAGCGGAAAAGATATCCGGATAATAAAAGCCACACCCTCTCAGAAAAATATTTTTATTTTTAAAAAAAATAAGAGATATAATTATATTGGTCGGTGCTTAGCAAATTAGGTTGCTATTTAGAATATTATCATATGTTGACTTAGCAGTATTTATCGTTAACCGTTTTTTATTATATTATTTTCAGGAGCTCACCCCCCCCCCCCCCACTATTTATAATGATTAGAAACTAGCAATGATTATAAGGATGATATATAGCAGGGTCTTCTAACACGGGGAGTGGGTATAAAGCAGTTGTGTTTTTAATTTTTTGGAGGTAGGGGGGGGGGGGGTGTATCACAACTGGGTACCCCAATACAGTATCCATCTTATTTTTGAATTATTTTATATTTTAGTAAACATATAATAGATTTATACAGCAAATAAAACCCCTGGCTACTCCTTTAAGTAGATCTCTCTGATATTGAAACTGCGATTTATGCAATATATTACCTGATAATTGCTGAAATAGCTGGGTTTGATTCCTATGAAATTTCCATTCACCCCGCTATAGTCCCCTCCATTTGTATTGAGTCCTGTATCAATATTCTTGTTTCCGGTGCCCGTTTTCCCCGATAAATTCGAAAATAGGGCTGAAATCCATTCTGGTTGCAAATTTAAATTCATCTGTTCGCTTTCATATCCGGAAATCCCATCAACCATGGCTGCTTGGTCTCCAGGCACGAAAATAGAACCTTCATCGTTCAGTTTTCCCCTTCTATGGAGTTCGTCCTTAGATTTGAGCATTGAGGCCATATCGGCGGCGAATTGATAAGCCGTTTGATCGAAATTTTTCTGTGGATCAGACTTTATGGCTTTTTTATTTTTGAGTTAAAAAAAAACATCCTACAATATTTAAATATTGAAATTATTTTGATTAAGAAACTTTGAACTACCCTTTATTTTTGATTTACTCTGGAAATTTACAGAGTTAATGTACTCTATACATGCAAAAAATACGATTCTGTCTAAACCAGGCCTTCCAAAATTTAAAATTGAGTGTTCATATATTATATGAGTTTTTATTATCTGCTAAACTATGAAGCATAGTCCAGCCTATACTCCTATGGCTACTATGTTTTGTATTTGTGTAAAATTACTGATATATTATTTATATAGCGAAGTAGAATTAAGAATTGGGTTTAGACAAAAATTTAATATCAATGTGTAGCACCATCCTTAATCTTTAAAATAAAATGTGAGAATTTTAAATCCAAATGAGTTTATATGAAAGTTGGTTTAGAAGAGAGTAGAAGAGAGTAGAAGAGAAGAAGAAGAGAAGAGAAGAGAAGAGAAGAGAAGAGAAGAGAAGAGAAGAGAAGAGAAGAGAAGAGAGAGAGAAGAGAGAGAGAAGAGAAGAGAAGAGAAGATAAGATAAGATAAGATAAGATAAGATAAGTGGGAAATACTTTTCAGTATGTGTAGACTGGTGTACTTAACCCAATGACATTTAATAATACCCAGACCGACGATGCATTCATTTAAAGTGTGCATCAATGAAAAGAGCTGGGAGGCCATTTTGGTTTCCCATATGATTGTTAAAATTTTTAAACGAGTGGCTAATTTATTCCTATATCTGACGCAAACCATGTTCGAGATAATTGGGAAGCAAGTTATCAATTTAATGGTAGTTTTTAACATGAGAATAATTACTATACAGGTTACAAGAATGGCGGGTCCAGCTGATTTGCATTCAGTGATGCTTTCAAATGCATTATATCGTCAATCTAGATATTATTATGTGTCATTGACCCATCCTAAGAAACTCAGGTAATTTTGCCTTGAATATATAAATTTTTTTAAAAAAATACACAAATGGGAGAAACTTATAGGATAGATAACTCTACATCTGCTTGGACTGCGTTTTAAATATAATCAGATCTTTCAAACTCAAAAATAGCACTCTTTTCGAGAAAATCTGATGACGTATAACTTTCTATTCAAATAAAACCACTTCAATAGAACCATTAATTGACATAAATGCGTTGACACATTAAAAAGAAGGCTACAGGTTCGTTTGTAAGTGGAATTTGGGCATCTTTGTTCCTATACCATAACCCCCCCCCCCCCCTAATTTAAATTGTCCTTGTTACTATAATTACTTTCCCATATATCATCAAAATATTTGTTACCAGCTGATTGGCCCCCAAATAAGCCCGTCATCATTACGGGATTAGAAGCGGATTGAGCTCCATTTTCAACTTGCGATGCCATTTTATTTTTCCTGTCTCTTCTATCGCTGTGAGCTAGGTTTCGTCTGACTACCCGCTCCTTCTGCGAAACATTCGAATCTGTGCTTAGGAAATAATTTAGACCATAGTAAAAAAAAAGGAAGAATGTGAGTGACGTTGCATTTATATTGAACGCGTTATTATTCGGGCGTCGCGTTATTTGATGCAGCTTTGCTGATTCTAATTTAAGATAAGACTAAAATAGAGATAATTTTTTTTTATAATCGGCAACATATGTTTTTCATATTTAGCGTTATCGTCATACCAATTTAATGGATTTATTTACATAATAACGCTACGTTAAATAACACAACCGTTGAAGATAACGCGATTATTTTAGAGATGAGCACTGAAAGTTTTTACCTAAAAATACGATTAACTTCATACATCAATCGACCTTTTTATCAGGACAAGTGTTGTTAAACGACTCATTTTGAGCCGATATATAAGAACGCTTAACTCAATATTTCATCCAGAAAAATACTACGCAAGCCTGAAGATTTTGCTCATAGAAGGAACAATGGTATAGACATTTATCATTAAAATCTAGAGGCTTAGGCAATATTTTTCTGGCTAAAATATTGAGTTAGCCCTGTTTAACAACACTAATTAGGACACTAATTGTTTAAATAATTCAATATATCAAATCAGTTTTTTTTTGCTATAATTTAGATATTAGATTATATTAATATCCATCCATGAATAATTAATTGATAGTAAGTGAAAGTAATACCTAATATTATTAATTGTTTAATTTATAGATTTATACCAACTTTTCTAAAAAACGTTCAAATTTTTCCTTATAAGTCTGAATTCGGGTTCAGGAATTTTAAACTCTATTTAGAGAAAATTTAGCACCGGAGTTTGATGGGTTGTCCATCAATCGATCTCGGTTTATTCTATTCGAATTTCTGAACACGAAAAAAAAGAAAATGATATTATTGTTTTACATTCATTATTTTTTCCCTTTATTTCCTCTTCGTCATCGTAATACAATCCTTCCATCAATGGCATACCTCGGGTTCTACTCGAAAATCTTGCTAGATTTCCCAATCTTCCACTCCTCATTAAACCATCTCTAAATGACGAATCTTTGTTACCGGGCACCATAAAATTTCCTATTCCTAAATATATAACATTTTTTAAACATACATAAGAATTTATAATAAGGCTCCTATTTAAACGCTTTCAAAAATATGAAAGTAAATACTCAAGCAAAAAAATGTATATGTAAAGGTTCAGATTAAAAAATATTTGACTTACCTGAATGTACAAAAAAAAACTTAATCCAAGAGGAAAAAAATAATTGCTAAGATTTAAAAAATTGGCAATTCACATTAAAAAAATACAAGATATATGAAACACTCAGAAATAGTTACTTAACTGAATTAATTTTAAAACCTAATGTTTAAAATGATGTCATAAACCCCCCTCCCCTTACCATTTTTAGTTGTATTTTTTTAAAAAATATTGATATTTGATATTCGTGTAATCATTAAATTAAAAATTTTAACGGTTATTATTTGAAAATGAAAATTTTCTAAATTATAAAAACTAATCTTGATTTCCAAAATGGATAATTTTACTTTTAGAAATATGCTATAGTAAATTTTTGTAAAATATAAAAAAATGAAGGTTTATATGTTGGTTACAATTTTACAATCATTTTAAAAAAAATGATCACCTGAATTCTTGCCGTTATCGCCGATAACCGACCTCTGCCTAAAAAACCTATTTGAAAGTGGATTAAAATCGGCCATGTTAGATCTAAAATGTTAAAATTAATTTTAATTTTAATTTTAATTTTTTTTTTAACATTTGAAATATAGTTAGTATTGAAGAATTGAAATTTATTATAAAATATCTTTCCTTTATTAAATTGTCGAACTCGAAATACTGATAATCTATGCTTTGGAGGGGTAAAAATCGTATCCTATAAAGAGTAGTGTCGTTAAAAGGTCCGATTCAGGTCGATTTGACCTATTCAGATATTAGCCGAAATAATATTTTGTAAAGCCAAGTGATTTCTCTCATAGATGGGCAAATTAGGTTTGAACATCTGTTAGCCTAATCTCGAAGATTTCAATAATAGTACTTTGGAAATCGGACTTTTTAACAACAACTACTAAAAAAGCATTTCTATAAGGCGATATTCATTTAAATTCGATTTTTTATAAAAAAAATTTGACATATAAACATATAGTCTAAATGTGTTAAACATTTTAAAGGAACGAAATAATATTAATCCAAGTATAAAAAAAATTAAAAAAATGGTAGTCATGATTAGATTAAATAATTTTCCTTATACTAAACCAAGCCCACAAATGATTAAATTTCATATATTTATTTATTTATAATGAATACAACGAGTAATAATTTAATTAAACCTATTTCAAAACAAAACTTATTTTTTTCGGGAAAGTAAAAAAATATAACCTTGTTCCAGATATATGAGCAGTAGGTTCTAACGCGCTCTGGGGGAAATTAGGGCTAGTACAGATGGGACAGCCATTACTACCCTGGCAACATTTTTGCATCCCCGGGCAAGAGAAATCATGGATGCAAGATCCGGCGCAGCTAGGAATGGGTATAGTTATGGCTACCACGGCTATCAAAGGATTTGCAGTAGAAGAATTGAATAATGGGATGGTATAGTTTACGGTGGAAGTGAATTGATCCTGAATTATGACACTGGGGCAGGTACCCGGCTTCATGGCTTTTTAAAGATGGATGATTGTGTGTATAAGATAGGTATAATAAAAAGAAAAAGAAGCCTTCAATAGCTAAATTAATTTTTTTATTATATTAAAAAATAATCTTTCTCTAATACAATTTGTAACTCAAACCGAACTGTCTCTTTGTTTAATTTTAAAAAATTTTCCAACAAATTTATGAATTCTACATATTTTTAAAACATAACTAAAGAATCCTCCAAACAAATCATTCTACTCCATACATTTCCTTATTTGTGAGACAGTTATAATTCCTTAAAGTGTTATCATTGAATTTCGAAGGAAGCGATACTAATTAATTTTAAACAATCTGTTAAGATACTATTTATATAATTCGATAAGTTTATTGGTAAATATTTAAAATGATAAAGTGACGTGATTTTTATTATTTTTATTATTACGGCATTTGGACTTCTGATCTGGTTTAGATTTTAGTCTAAATACAGGAAATGGCAATGGGCTAGATTTATATGAAGGATATCAAGGTTGGATTTATATTTTTTATTATTATTCAATGCAAGATTATTGGTTATGCACAGAGAGTATATTTTTGTCAGATAAATAATTTTGTTATGTAAATTTAGATGAAAACGCGAGATAATTGTAGAGATGATTTAATATTTTAACGGTTAACACTTGTTTAGTTATACACTCCTTTTATATTTTTTTACAATTTTCATAATTTTTATTTTATTTATATTATTTACCTTACGGATACTAATTATGATTATTTGAATGAATAAAGATTATTGACAGGATTATATTATTAATTAGGAATCTTTATTATTTATATATACATTCATTTTTCTCCATTACAAGGGTTACTCCAATACATCCGATTATAAAAAACTTGCTCCATTACCTTCTATCAATATAACAAAATATGAAGGTGGGAGGGGGGGGAGTAGATCCAGAGGCATCCAATGGGCGCACATCTGCCTGCGATTAAAATAAAAGCGGGAACGTGGCTGCCCCGCAATTCACGAAAGCGAGACATGACCGTCATAAAGGACATTACGCTTTGTGAGGAACTGGTGACAGTGTATGGATCGTTAGGTAGAAAACCTTCGAGAATGAACAGGAAGAATGAGGAGAAGGGGTTGAAACATTTAACAGAAGAAGAGGTTGACAAACATGTGACTAGATGAAAAGGTAAAAGTGCAAAAATGATTGGCATGACATATATGGTAATGTACAAGTATTTTTTAGCATGGATGATAAACGTCGGGGTCACATTTCTTCTTGCAGAGAAGTTTATTGGGATGTGAAAATAAATATTAATCGTATATTAGCTATCAAAGTGACAATTGTCAAGTGAATATTTAACACAATTTCGGCAAATGTAGAGCAGTAAAGACAAAAATGTATTTTTTGTACATATATATAAATTAATAGAAGTGACATCAGGACTGCCTTTAGAGAAGGCCATTGATGACCTTTAGATGGTGACCAAAATTTGTAAGGCAGAGCGAATATTGAGGGTAAAATCTAGTGACGCCACTGACCTGCGGTAGCCCTTGCCAGCCGCTATTTATAATAAAATTAATAAAAGTCACGTGCCATTTTTTTTTAGTTTTTTTACCAATTTATTTTTTTTCGCAATAACCGTTAATAAAAATGGAAATCAAAATTACTCAAAATTGTTTATTTTTAATTCGCTAATCACCTTAAGGAATTTGTTCTTTTAAATATTAAAGTAATATATAGAAAATAAGTGATAATAAAATATAAATAAATAATCTTATTGCTTAGTTATATCAGCTATTTTAAACATCAAATTTAGTATTAATTTCATTTTAAATGCAATAACTGATAATTCTTAAGTTTTACGTCTAAAAAATATTAATATTAAATTACCATTGCAACACATATTGACGACTCCGAAATTTAGGGCTATAGGTATACACCTGAAATTGGGTGGACAGTCATTGGACGAGGTGTTAGTCCTACAAACTCCACGTGATAAGGCTAAAGTTTGATCTGGACATAAGTCCTCTAATCATTTTTTCAAAAAAAAATTTAAATTGTGTTAGAAACTATTGCTCTCTTATTTAAAATTAAACCAACAGTCGGGATTAAACGTTTTATACGTTTGCTGACTCAAAGTTGTTGACTATTACAGATCTTATCCTTTAAAACTCAATAAATGCTAAGGTTAGTTCTTGTTTATTATATCATAATTTAATATTTTCGTCTTCTCATATTCAAATAATCATAATTTTTATACCTATAGCATCTATATATATATTTTCTTTCTTACAGTTCTACCTATGTGCAATTTTTAAAAAACAAATAAATAAATGTATGTTATATTTCCTTTGATATCTTATATTATTATTTAACCTGCTGACTGAACATCATATAGAAATATAAAAAAAACCATCAGATAATTTCATTAAACCTCTTAAACAACACTTTCCGAATTCGTCCAAGCCTCTCCGCATATCGCATTCGTAATTGATGGGACACATGCCTTCACTGGGCCCGCAAATGATATTCAATAAAGGCTCGCCTCTCTTGCACAGATGTCCTAAATCTTGATCTATATTTTAAAAAAAATTTATTTTGTATATATTTTTTCTATTATTAAAATAAAAGGAAATGAAATGAAATGAAATGAAATAAAAAGAAATGAAAAGAAAGAAAGATAAAGGAGGATAGAAAAAAAAAGAGAATGAATGAATAACCTACCTATGCCGGGTGTGAGTCTAGGTGGAAAATTATCGTTTATCCTTATACGCGGAGGGTATCTCCTAGGTTGCCTTACGGAAGATGTTTCCTTCTTCATATTCATAGTTACTTGCTTTTTGGATCTGGAAGTAGTCCATTTTTTGGATCTGGAAGTAGTCCATTTTTTGGACTGAGTCGTCGTTTGCTTCTTAGTGGGTTGAGTTATTGGTTGTTTATTATTTCCGACATTTCCACCGTATCCACCACCTCCTTTTTTTTTATTCATTAAATGCATTTTTGTTGTTGTTAAAATTACACAGTCTTTCCCCCTGTGGTTTTGAAACCTAAGAAGTTTTAAGGCGTTTTTTAAAATAAAAATCGCTCTATGTGGAGTTGTTAAACGGTTATAGATTCGAGCCGATTTTTCAAAAATGGCATGCTCAATATTTTAGCCAGAAAACTATTGTCTGAACTGCAAAAATTTTGCTAAATAGATGTCCAAATCTTTGTGCCATCTGTGAGCAAAATCTTCACTGGATAAAATATTTGATTTGGCCATTTTTTTTAAAACCCTAAATTCAACGAGATCGATAAATAGTCAAAAAAAATAGGATTTTAATTAACAAATGAAAAGGGGGTAATAAAACTCATAAAATTAATGGATAAAAATAGGAATTACTAAAGTCGAATAAAAATTAAAGTGATTATATTTAATTTGGTCAAATAAATATAAAAAAATTGTATTAGTTTAATGAATTACTACTGCTACAAATGAGTATAATATTCGGGAACTCTAGTGCATTAAACTAATAAAGCATATCATTCTCCATTTATGATAAGCTGTATTAGTTTAATAAATTACTACTGCTACAAATGAGTATAATATTCGGGAACGCTAGTGTTTACCGTACTACTAATAGTTAGTAGCGTCACTAAAAAAGAGAAGAGGCTTCACAGGGGCTCAGGTCCCGTAAAAAAATTTGAAGAGTCCCCTGAAAATTTTGATTTTTTTTTATAAAAATTATGTAAGCTATAGAGAAAAGGTCTCAAAAATAAAAAGTTTTTTTTTGGAGCCCACCCATGAAATTAAAGGGCAGTGTCGCCGATGCTAAGAGTCGGATCCAACCTTGAATTTCCTAATGATTAAATCATAGGGAAAACTGGCCAACCTGGGTAAACCTGGAAATCGCGAATAAACGGAGAAGAAGAAGATTAGTAGTAGCTTTCAAATTAGTACATGCTCCGTTGAAATTTGTATTGAAAGAAATATAATAATTATAGGATAATAATGATAAATTAACCTCCTCCGTATCCTTGATTAAATCCTCCACTATATCCACCACTCCCACCGTTGTATCCTCCTCCTACCGAGCTTCCGAATCCGCCATATCCACCTCCGCCACCGGTGAAAAATGGTATCTGGTCATTATTCGCCGATATTAGACCTCCAGAATTATCCCCCATTGCGTAGGGTGAACCCGGTCCAGGGCCGACCATGCCGGGGTATTCCCATTGAAAACTTTGTTGTGGGGCATTTACCACTCGTCTTCCCACTTGATTTTGATGACGCATTATGTTAGGATTAGAGTTAGGATTTATGAGAAAATGGCGATGACCTAAGGAACTGTACTTGCGTCTGTTTCTATTTCTATCACCGATTAGGCCAGAATGTCTTGGCTTGTCGAATTTAATATGACCCTGAGGGCTGCGCGGATCATTTGCTAATTGCTTCTTAGAGGCGTCTTTGCCACTTGTATTAGGGGGAGAACGTTGTCTGGCATTACCTTGTTTTATATATAATTTAAATACTATGTAAATTTTTCTGAATGATATAGTTAAGGATAATTCATATTTAAAAATAGAAGGTTTAAAATTGTATAATTCAATTTTTTTTAAAGAGTATTAGTATTTTATAGTGGAATTTCTGATAGTTTCTTTCCTTCTTTCCTTCCTTCTTTCTTTTTCTTTCTTTCTTTCTTTCTTTCTTTCTTTCTTTCTTTCTTTCTTTCTTTCTTTCTTTCTTTCTTTCTTTCTTTCTTTCTTTCTTTCTTTCTTTCTTTCTTTCTTTCTTTCTTTCTTTCTTTCTTTCTTTCTTTCTTTCTTTCTTTCTTTCTTTCTTTCTTTCTTTCTTTCTTTCTTTCTTTCTTTCTTTCTTTCTTTCTTTCTTTATCACATAAATATGAATATTTTAAATATAGATTACAAAACTATATAATACCAAATTTTAGTAAAACCAAAGGGGTATAGCTTATGATTGAAAATTAAATGAACGAACGTTTAAATGCATGTCTATTCAGAAAGATAGTGGATGATTATACATTGGATGCCTTAAATAGAAAGTATCAAAGCTCTTAAATCAAATGTATATGGTTATTCATCTTCAAGATACATCGCCCCAATAAACTAATTTAAGTTGGACACGATTTTCAAAAAAATATTTCCTGATGATCTTAAAATGTGTATAGATAGCTTATACTTTAACACGAGTTGTGAATGCTCATCTATTTCAATTTTTATAACACTGAAATGTATTAAGAGCGATTTAGGAATAGATTCTCCTTTAATAATACTATCTAAAGCAGAACCCCAGACCTTCTCATGTATGAAGGATCTGGTTATGTTACGGGTTCAGATGCAAAAAAATTAAAAGTTCTTGTTTGGTTAAGGTTTTTAACATAATTGTATGAAGTTTTTTTTTCAGGTTTTAAATATATTTATTTATAGATACATAAAAACATACAATATATATATATAATAGTTATTTAAAAACTCACCAAGGAAAAAAGTAAAAGTGTAAGTTATATTTATATATAAAACAAAACGGTCTTAAACCGGTTCAATAAAAAATTATAACGGTTCGTGCCGCTCCTCTTAGCGGATTTGGCATAAAGGTTCGGTTACGGTTTAGAAAATCATAAAAGCTCGTTCGTTCGGTTTGCCCCGATTTTCCGAATTCAAGTCACTATTGGTAACGAAGCTTTGATTGGGGTATTGAGAAAAAATAAATAAATAAAAGGTTACTTTTAAAAAATTTTAGTATTAAAATAAAAAGCTTATTATGATTTGAATTTATTTTCTATCTAGAGAATATTATCATAAATATGTTACTTGGATTTTGATGTTGTGGATGAGGAGAATTATTACCAGCATCTGTCGGGCCCTGATGTGTATCGATCGAACTTACTTTATCCTGGGTTCGAAGATGGGTTCCTGAATCTACGACAGGGGGATAACTTCTACGTGGCCTAAATGAAGAAGGAGAATCAACTATAGAACCTAAACTATCCGCGTTCACCTAATTTTTAAATTGATATAATACATAACATACATTTATTTTATTATTAAAAATATACAATTAAATATTTGATTTGTTTAAAGCTTTACTCTATTCTTGATACAATATCTCATATTTACTGAATTTTTATATAATTCCATTTTTTTTAAATTATTTTTTGAGATGATACACTTTTATTTATTAGATAGATAATATAATCAAAATACATTCAGACTCATATAATTTAATTAGGACACAAAAAAATTTTCCACTAGAATTTGTATTTTTAGAAATGCGAAAAAGATATATCTGTGATATGTGATTAAAATAAACATATAAATAACATTTTTATATGACTAAAATAATTATTAAATAATCAAAAATAAATATTATAAGTGTTGTCAAACGGCTCGTTTTAAGCCGATTTTTATAAACGGCTAACTCAATATTTTAACCAGAAAAATATAGCCCTTAGCCTCGAAATTTCGATAATATATGACTACACCTTATGTTCCTTCAATGAACAAAATCTTCAGGCTTGCATTATATTTTTATGGATGAAATATTGAGATAGCCGTTTTTAGAAATCTACTAAAAACGAGCCGTTCAACACTAAATATCAAATAAAATTATTAAACATTTTATAACCATTTGCACTGTAAAAAACTTTATATTTTATTGTAAAAGTGTGAAATTGATTACGTATATTAGCAACTCCCTACACATGACCAGTATGAGGATTTGGCATTTGTACATGTTTTTTTTTACCTCCGGAAATACTTTTTTTTCTTTAAATAATAGAATAAAATTTATTTAATAATTTTTTTTTTACATGTTTTAGATTTCTTTATAAATAATTGCGTACAAAATCTAAAATAGTCCTCGTGGATTTCGAATTTGCAAGAAATGGGCACTAAAATAAAAGTCTCAAAATTTTATTTTAATAAATAAATATTTTTGGTATATAATTTTTGTAATTATAAATATAAAATAATTTGCAAAAAAAAGTCTTATTAGGGTGTTCAGGACTTTCAAAGGCTTAAAATTTTTTTTTTTTATTTATTCATTATGGATTATTCAAAATTATCACTTTTCTTATCATTTAAACCTTACCCAGCTAGTGTTGGTCAAACGGCTCGTTTTGATCCGGTTCTTCTTTAAAACGGCTAACTAAATATTTTAGGCAGAAAAAAAAATAGTGCCTAAGCCTCCAGAGTTTGCTAATAGATGTCTAGACCTCTGTGACCAATCTATAAGCAAAATATTCGATCTTCCGTAATATTTTTCTGAATTATATATTGAGTTTTGTCATTTAACAACACTTATCTTTCTCTATATTTATTAATTCAGATAACTAAAAAAGATATGTTTTTTTTATAAAAAAAAAACTAGATTCAGTTAGCATGATCACTATTTTTGTTTTGTTTTTTTCTTCCTTAATGTTATAATTAGCTTTGTAAATAAGATATAATTATATTTATTAGTGTTGTTAAAGGATTTGAGCCGATTTTTTGAAACAGCTAACTCAATATTTTATGTAGAATAATATTACGCAAGTCTGAAGATTTTGTTGATAGATAGCACAAGGGTCTCGACATCAATTAGCGAAATATCGAAGCTCAGGCAATTTTTATTTTTCTGGCTGAAATATTGAGTTAGCCGTTTAACAATACTAATATTTATATTGGTAACAAATTACGATATCCATTCACATATACTATTTAAATTTAATTATCTTATATGACATATTGTATAATTTCTAAATTCCTTTCGAAAATATTCAATTAGTAAATACCTTACTGCTTTTTTTATTCCCTTTCCTTCAAGAATATCCTGTTCTAGTAGGTAATTTATTTAAGTCTCGATTTTTCGCTGAGAAAATTTAATTAAAAGTAGCGATTTAGTGTGGACGACAAATAATTTCAATTTTTTTTTTAAAGTTAACAAAATATATAAAGTAAAGTAGTTTTAGGTTTTTAATTTAAAAAAAAAAGGTTAATAATGGAAAATATATAAATCACGTTTAAATTAGATCACATATATTATTTTTTTCTCACTTTATAAAATGGAAAAAAAAAGATAGAATGATATTAATATATGCTAAAATTATTGTTTATTAATTTGTCATACTGAGAATTACCATGGCACTTTAAAAACAAATCTATTTTGATTTTAAAGTTTTTTGGAAATTAATGGCTTATAAACTTTGCCAAAATTTTTTTCTTAATATTTTATATCCTTACTTATACAATTTTACGAAAGAGTTTAACAACTAAAAAAGAACCATTTTTTTATATATTGGAGCAATTGATTTTTTTTTTATATATATAAAGGAATTTAGCAAATATTTTACGAAATAAAAATTTGGATTATCATCAGAGAAGTATATTTGTTAAGCACTCGTTTTGAGCCGATTTTTAAAAAGGGCTAACTCAGTATTTTAGGACCAGAAAGATATTGCCTCCTAAGCCTCTAGATTTCGATAATATATGTCTAGACCCCTGTTCCTTCTATGAGCAGAATCTTCAAACTTGCATAATATTTTTCTAGATAAAATATTGAGTTAGCCGTAACCGTTTAACGACAATGGCCTAGACTAACAAGCAACTCTGGTAAATAAGACGATACTGAGAAATGACTTTAAGGTCACTTTATAATACGCCCGTAGCTTTAGTCTGTCCATTCATATCTTTAATTGTGTTTTCGGTTAAATGATGGAGATAAAGAAATTTTTATTTTAAAACGAATTTAAAAATATGCTAAATTAAGCATTCGACTTTTTATTTTTTTAAAAATTCATATGATGCTATTCTAGTGTTTAAAACTTTAAACCATGCTATACAGTAAGAAGAAAAAAATTATCTGAATCCTTTTAATATTAAAACTCTAACAAATTCAAAAGAAGCTTAATACGTTAGCTGCCCTTTAATGGTTTTTTTTTTATTTAAAACATGTCTTGTCTTATCTTTTTTTCCCCCACATTCAGAATAGTGTTGTTAAAATGCCTAACTTTAGTCAACTATAAAACAGTGTAACTATGTATTTATCCAAAAATATTTAAATCAATCTTCAAGTTGAGACTTCAACTTAGAAGCTTAATTCAATTTTTTTAGGCTATAAGTTTGACTGAGCCACAATAGAGATAGTCAAAGTTAGGTAATTTAATAACACTAATTGAGAATACTTTTACATCGTCTTAGGATTTCATATTTTGTAAATAAATTATAATAGTTTATGTTTTATTTAATATATTTTATGTGAGTAAAGAATCTGAAAATCTTAATTTTACAACTTCAGCCAGCCTTTTGGACATGTCTAAATTTAAATACTTGTCAAAACAAATTAAATATATTACGATTTAACCTTATGCCTTCTCCTTCTTCTTTATAACTGCATAAATTATAAATTTTATATATATTACACTATCTTTTAAAGATAATTTTATTTTTTATTATACTTTATACTTTATAACGTATATATTAATATCTCTTCAATAATCTATCTTCTTAAATTAAATGGATCCTATAATATTTTGTATTCTATGAATTTCAAAATCATTATGAATTTTTAGGGGGGAGAGATTGGAAGTCATTAACATTTTTAATGATATATTTATTTCTTTTTGTCAAACGGATTTTAACATAAATAATTAATATCTTTTTGCTTATTTCCATTTTATAATAAAAACTAAATATTTATATTTTATTTTATTCAATTTCTTAATGTTATTGATTTGTAAAATATGTATATCATTCGTGTCATCGTCAATAATAAAATTAAAATTTTTATAAAATTGATTAGTACAAATGTTTTATAAAGGTGTCATAAATATGATTAAAAATTACGAAATACATAGTTTAAATTTAATGTGAATATTGAAAACTTGTAAAATGAATTAATATATTTTTTTTAATAGTTGGATTTTTCACAATATTAAATTATTTTATTTTATTTTTTACTTTACAATTGCTTTTTTAAAAAAAATAGTTAATTAAGACATAATATTCGAGTTCAAAAGTTGATTCTTATATATATTAATATCATCGTTAAAAAAATATTAGATTTTAATTATAATTTATAAATAGAAAGAAAGAAAGAAAGAAAGAAAGAAAGAAAGAAAGAAAGAAAGAAAGAAAGAAAGAAAGAAAGAAAGAAAGAAAGAAAGAAAGAAAGAAAATAACTTTCATATATTGTTGCTAAAAAAATATTCTTTACTCGGACATTAAAAAATTTAAACAACTAAATAAACCTTTCTAAAATGAATCATGCTAAATTTTGAAAAGTAAAATTATGTTTAACTCAAATTTCTGGAAGTTTAAATAGGGGGGTTTCCAATTCCAATTATAAATTTTAAGAGTAGATGGTTCTAATTCCTCCTATACACCAATACAATTCTTATATTAAGCACTGAAGAATATCGACCGAGATATGCAGATCACGTGCTTCATATCAATCCAAGGTACCATAAGATAAAGGCATCCTCTTGTGTTTTCTTAATAACCTTTAAGCCCAACTTTGAAACATTTTTGTCAAAAATAAATTGTTTAAATCTTTAAAATATATCTTTTGTTGATCTAAGGAATAAATCTAAACATTATTTTTAATATGGATTCTATATTATCTTACATAAGGCCGTAGCTACGAGGAAAGAGTGGGGGGCACCCCCCTCCCCCAAAAAAATAAAATTTTTTGGCCCCCAGGAAAAATCTTTGGCCCCCAAAAATAGGCCCCCATAAATTTTTCGGCTCCCCTAAAAAAAAAATTTGTAATATATTATTTATTATTTTTTAAAATAAATTTTAAATATTTATTCAAAAAACACATCTAGTTTGTAAATTCTATCCGGTTCTATTTTTATTCAAAAATAAATCATCATTCATTCGTATTTTATCACTTTCACGCGAGTTTGTGCATGACATTATATAGGCGCTTAATCGCGTTTAAATTGTACTTATTTCGATGATATTTATTTTATTTATTATGATTCTATCACTAATATAACCAGTTATTTAAAACAGCGGGTGAATATTTCAGAATTATGAAGAAAATACTGAGAAAACAACAATTTTGGTAAGCCAACAAATTAACCGTAATCTTTACTATCTTAAATCAATATTGATGCTATTTCTTAGCATACAGGATCTTAGGGATGTATGATGAAAACATAATTTATTCTTCTAGACTATTTATAGCAATGTTTTCATGCACCATTCAAAAAGATCCTGAGTTAAATAAAATTATGAAATTTATACCCAAAAATGCCTAATATACATCACCCCAGATTCAAAACGAAGTGATATCTATTATGGCAGAATATAACAAGAGATGCCTTTTATTAGTCTTAAAGCTGATGAGACAAAAGATGCACATTATTCCTTATTTTTCTGGAGAATTCCAAGAAAATTTAATAAGAATTATTAAAACAGTCGAAAGCATTACTAATTGCATTTTATAGCAAATTAATGAGTTAAATATTAATTCAGCTAATATAATAAGCCAGGCATATGATGGGGTAAACGTTATGTCTGGCCGAAATGAAAGAATGGAAACCCTACTTTAAAAAAAAATTAATAAAATGTTCCTTATATACATTGTTATAACCACATGTTGCATTTGTGGCTCAAAATTGGTATATTAATATTGTTATCATTTCTAATTTTTTATTTATTTATACAATACGTTGTATAATTCTTTAGGTGCTTTAACATATCCTGTAAATATGCAGGCCATACTCTTAAAAGACTTTTAGACCAGAGGTGAACTGGTC